AATAAAACCAGTTGTTACCTATTACATATTTTTAAGTAGATCGTCTTCCTTCAGGTTTCCTGTTCAGTCCTGTAACAATTATTCAAGCTACGGAGCTTTTGGAGTGGGTAAGTAAATTGAAAATTGGTCCTCATCGATCTTCAGACGGGACCATATTTTTTAATTGTGACAAAATCATCACTAGACATTTTATAATATTACTTTTTATTATTGAAAAATTATCGTTTAGAGGATTTGTTAATTATTGATAATTGAGAAAATGGAAAAATATCTTGAATCTATATAAAATAAACAAGTTGTTACCTATTACATATTTTTAAGTAGATCGTCTTCTTTCAGGTTTCCTGTTCATTCCTGTAACAATTATTCAAGCTACGGAGCTTTTATAGTGGGTAGGTAAATTGAAAATTGGTCCTCATCGATCTTCAGACTGGACCACATTTTTTAATTGTGACAAAATCATAACTAGACATGTTATAATATTACTTTTTATTATTGAAAAATTGTCGTTTAGATGATTTGTTAATTATTGATAATTGAGAAAATGGAAAAATATCTTGAATCTATATAAATAAAACCAGTTGTTACCTATTACATATTTTTAAGTAGGTCTTCTTCCTTCAGGTTTCCTGTTCATTCCTGTAACAATTATTCAAGCTACGGAGCTTTTATAGTGGGTAGGTAAATTGAAAATTGGTCCTCATCGATCTTCAGACTGGACCACATTTTTTAATTGTGACAAAATCATAACTAGACATGTTATAATATTACTTTTTATTATTGAAAAATTGTCGTTTAGATGATTTGTTAATTATTGATAATTGAGAAAATGGAAAAATATCTTGAATCTATATAAATAAAACCAGTTGTTACCTATTACATATTTTTAAGTAGGTCTTCTTCCTTCAGGTTTCCTGTTCATTCCTGTAACAATTATTCAAGCTACGGAGCTTTTGAAGTGCGTAGGTAAATTGAAAATTGGTCCTCATCGATCTTCAGATACAAAAAAAAATCAACGAATACTTGTTTTTCGCTGGACATGCTGCGTAGACGTAACCCTATTAACTCAGAGCCTTACAGATTTTAATTAAAAAAAAAACAGACTCATACATTGGTCCGTTCGCTCAGCGAACAGCTTCGGCTGGAAAAGTCACTAAATTTAAGAGCACTTTTTTGTCCTAGGTTTATCCTACCCTATCCTAACTACGGTGGGTTCTTAGCCTTATGCCTGTACATTTTGCCTACCTCCTCTAGATGAGCTCTACACTTCTGGAGAGTTTGGATAGTGTTTCGGGCTGAATGAAATGAGTTGTTAATAGGTACTTTTTACCGTCTGATTCCTAATGCAAAAAACATTTTGGATCATTTTTCCAACCATTTGCGAGCAGATATCCAATCAAGACTGATGGAATTTCATTGTTGTCACCGGTATAAAGGTATAGATGGTGAGGAGGAAGTGCTGAGAAAGAACTGTGCTGTAGGATTCCAATTCGTAAACAAATCCCTCTGATACATAATAAAAATTCATAAAAATTGATGACATGAGAGAAAACGCATAATATAGTACACGGTACAAGAATGCAAGGATAAAACCCTAACTAATTAGTTATCAGCGGCATCAACAACACAAGATTCACTTCGCCTGATGAAGAAATCGAGCTGTTTTATACCAGTCATTTCGTCACAAAACCATCGGGTGTGGCAATGATGCTTAACACTACAAATGGAAAGAAGAAATGCAAGACGCCAAGTGTTAGCACAGATTTTGCCATAATCAAAAAGTTTCTACAATCATTTCAGATAAAATCGGGACGGCCTGTACAGGACGACGCGGCAATACAATAAAAAGTTCAGGATCCAAGTTTTGCGGTGAAAACAATCCGATTTCAATAAACGTAAAACGGAATTTACGACCCGCGACAACGCGACTGTTGTGTGTGGTCTTTCCCGGTGTAATAAGGACTTTGAAAGGGAAATTACCCCGCGATTATTTTATTTGGCCGTTATTTGCGTTTCGCCGTGCGAAATTATAGGGTTCGGCGGAGAGCGTCGTACTTAGCCGATCTTCGAGGAGTTAAAAGCTATAATTTGATGTAGTCGAGAAAAATGAATGATCCAGATTATTATCTAGGCTGTAATGAACGAGGGATGCTGTCTTTGCAATAAGTAGGCTAGCAGGTGATCACTGACGTGTAACACGTTATCAGTTTATTCAAAACCTATCATCGTTTGCCAATGAGCATTGCATCCTGTAACAACTGTGATAATTATTATTGTAATAAATTTGATACAAAGCAGCATATTTTAATCAGCGGTTACAAAGATTTTGTCCTATTCAGCATTAAAAATAGTTTTGGATAGTTTGGTTGATGTTCGTATCCACCCTGCATAATTAGTTTCGATTTTCTCGTGGGAGTGAGGGGTTCCTGTGGTCCATGATCGGCACCAACAAGCTGTGAGACGATTAGTTATATTTTGGTTGGTTAGTTTCCACTTTATAGTTTCTTTGAAATTAATATGTGTTTAATCTCGTAGGGTTGGAATATTTCATTTCAGAAACAAATTTCACAACTCAAAGGACTTCTTATATTTTATTTTCGTAGCAGTTACAATATATTGTTTTTTCTCATTTGTTTAACCGATTCTAGCACTACCATCAAGTTCGCTGTTCATTCTTTGTGCATGTTCGTAGTAATCCTTCAAAGTAATAAATATCAGAACATACCCCTCGAAGAGAGAATAATCGTACATTTTCACAATTTCCGAACTTAAAAACTTATGAAAACATAGAGGAGTGTGGTGTCAGATGGGACTGCAAATTATTATATCTGTAAAGAAGTTCTGGCCACTAAGCGATATTGCTAGTGCATTGAGATATATAAACCTTAATTTATAGTGATATTAACCCAAATTATCCCAAACATAAAAAAATAAAAAAATTGTTTTTTTGCTCTGAAATTATTTATTTTCTTGCACTTAAGAATACATTACATTATGTGTCAAAAAATAAATAAAAACTCGAAACATACAAAAAAATACTGGTGCGTAAACAAACCACTGGGAAAAAACATTAAGTCATATGTTGGGGCACATAAGATGTAACATATAATTTATACATATATATACAAAAGAAACTTCAAATTCGACAGAAAACAACCAAAAGTTTTCCAAATAGAACCTGATTCGATACAAAAAATTGCATAATATTTTATGGTGTGTGAGCGCACCACTGTACATGAAGTATGTAAATTCACATTACACTTATTACAAACTTAAATTGTGTGGCTGTGGCAGATTCTACACCTCCTTCGGGCTTTATTAGCATGTACAATCATGAGGTGATCTTGATTATCATAACGCACTTCATCTATGGCAGGTGCAAGATTTCTTTGAGTAATTGTTTTATCAGTTTTTAAAAGTTGCAAAACAATGTAACATTTAAAATCTCCCTCTGAAATCTTTTGTTCGTTCACAATATTATACAATTACAAAATAAAGACTACCACCATTTTTTTCCAAATACCTGGCACCTGTAATTAGCAATTCCGTTGTCATGTAAATCTACCCCACCCATATATCTATTGTATTGGGCAATTACATTTTTACAATTACAATTTTACAATTACAATTTTCCATTGGATATTTATTTGTTCCATTTTCTCGGATAGTACCGGTTGCAAAATAACCATTAGTTTTTAAATGTACAAATAGTTTGAGTGTTAAAAAAATTGACAAAAAAAATTGGTGATTTACTGGCTTATCTTCAGCAGAAAGTAGACTCATGGCAACGTCACCGCCAAGTCAGAATGAGGTTTATTTTGAGCACCACCATATGGAAGTGAAGAAAATAGGTATCCATCAAATGAACAAAGGCACCAAAGCTTGAAGCGAAAACGAACACCCCATAAACATTTTGAAGGAATGGCGGCTAAAGTAAGGTACCATTTGTTCATATATGGATAAGTTGAGCGAAAATATGCCAAACTGAAGATTTTTTTTTATTTATTACATCAAAGAAGGGTCTAACTTTGGAAAATTTATCATTTTTTTCCAACAGATTATTGTCAGATATGTGCAAGTTTTGCTTTATCAATTGGAATCTATTGCGGCTCCTACATTTTTTATAAGATCAATTCCTTTGTCTTCGTCAGTAGACCAATAATGCTAAATATGTGGCAATGAATGATAACCCGAAAACAATAAAATGCCTACAAAATTGAAGAGTTCAATTTTTGACAATGAGAACTCATGGCGGTCATTGTGTTGAGCATATTTTACCGAGAATTTTAAAATAAATTGAATCATTTCGTCATCAAAAAACATAAAAATTATTTCAAGCGGAGTTTTTCCAGAAAGGCTATTTTTTAGTTCCTCGCATGATCTAAATTCTGACGTTTCTTCCATTTAACAGTAGAAGCAAGATTGTCGTTTGCAGAAAACATACGTCTTCTTTCGAATTCCAGGGTTTCCAATTTAGGTTCAATAGTTGATGAATCACGGGACTGTTGAAGGACAGCTGTATCATTCGGTGTATGTAACTCAAAAGTTCTAACTATATCAGTTGGTTCCCCAAACTCTTGTAGATTTATGTTATCGTTATCTTCTTGGTCAGTCAAGGTATCCACGTCGGGTGGAATATAGACCGCGTCAATATGTTCTGTAAATATTTTTTCACGTTATTTTTAGCATTAATTTACATGGAATGGAATGCTACAATACATAAGAATACGTAAATCCAAATAATACTTACGACTTTCATTGTTATTGTCCTCATCCATAACGATCTCCTCCATAACCGATTCTAATTCCTTTTGAGTCAATTACCTCGGAAATACCATATTTTACGAACTGTAACGTTCACTGCACAAAGCACAAACTAATACTAAAGAACACATGTGCAAAACATATTTCCTGGATGTGACTGTAGTGTTACGTTATGATGATTAAGAAGAACAATAAAATATCAAACATATAAACAATACCATTCAGAGACTGCTTACCTGGCAAATTTATGCCTGACATCAGCAGCTTATCGGGCAATTCCGAGATACACCTAGGCTTTGCGATTTCCATTTTTTTGTTCATCGATCCTGAAACAAAACGTCTCGTATTATTGATAGGAAATCAAAACGAACAGTATTTGAACAAAACGTTTGCTTCTCTATATAACCCCATTACTCGTTTGATTTGATTTAACAATTCTGATTTACATGCGTAGTAGAATAATTAAACGCAATCAGTCTCCAAGCAGCTGCTATTTCTTTGTTTAGTTTCGGATATCGTCTAAATGAACGTGCTGTCGGTCTGAATTAAATCGGTCTCAATTTGTACCGTGTACATATTATGCGAGAACGTATAGATTAGAAAAAACATCTGCTGGCACAAAGGCGCATTAATTTCTCAAAGCACGATTTGCAGCCGACTTTAGCGGTATCGAATTCTTTTATTGCTGCATTTTGGATTCGTAAGTACTCGTATAACGAGTCACGTTGTATTATTGCTAGAGGTCTATTTCACTTCAACCATTCGACAAAGAGTTCGAAATATAAACAATTATTACGTCTCATTGATTCGGGATTAGCATCCATTTTCCAATACGTTTCCAAATTTCTGAAATTATATATTAAATTTGAACAGACACAACAACAGTAACCAATTAATTGATTGTCATTTTTTTTACCAACTTTCATTAAATCATAGTACGTGAATTCATTTCTAGCTTTAACGAGCAAAAACAAAATTAGAACAAACCTCTTTGCTGAATAGGATACGTAAATGAACGAATGACTTTTTCTAATTTGTCAAAACATTATATATCATTAATATTTCAGACAGTTGTATAGTTTAGTATGTTTATTCTCGTGAAAACCTGCTAGTATATAATAACATACAAAAATTTTTACATCGCTTTGTAAGAAAACTATTATTCGGCAGTGGTTTGTTGATTAATCAATAAATAAAACATGATACGAATCGAAATATCAAAATGAATAAAAAAAAATGGCGAATGGTTCAATAGGAGTTTCGTCATCCAAAGGAAAGAATAAGGTGTTCTACCCTATCTTTAGTGGAAAATTTGAATGAAGTACGTATTATCTAGGATAATTTTCTCTAAATTTGCTTCTCAACTTAAAAAAATTATTTAAGATTAACATTTTAAAGATGATTTGGTATATTTGAAAGTAGTTTGATGTTACTTGACATTGACAAATCAGACAAAAGATTTATTTTTGGTTAGTAACTTCGATGTTTATTACTAAAAGCACAAATAAAATAACTGTGGTTAAGCACAGAATATATCAATAAAAATTCATTGACTATATTTACATTTTTGTACACAAATAGGTACTACCTACCATTTTATTAAATCAGATTCTAACAGAATTGAGATCAAAATCGCATCATAAAATGTAATTCCTGATTTATACATTGTTTATTTAAAAAATATATGTACATATTGATTCGATTCGATTGATTAAAACATTTCGTTTCAGAAATGTTGCAGTCTGATATGGACAGCCTACTATAAAAAGCGGTTTTCAAAATTACACAAAAATTGTTAAAAATCACATCATAATTTATAATTTGTGGTCCATAAAAAGGTATCTAAATCACTTTCAAATTAATTGAAGTATAGTCTATTCATTTAAAAATTGCCAAATAATCTTCGTAACGCTTCGACGAAAGCCCCGAAAAGGCCCACAAAATCTAATAACCGTGAGTAAATAGTGACAGTTGGCACGGTGAAAAACTATCAGGCAATCTCAACGCAGTTCAATGGCAACAACGGTGGAGAATCACCATTTTGCAATTTCAATAGAAAGGAGACATAATAGAGGAACACGGGCTTGCGGGCGTAGGAACGGCACAATACAGTGACAGTAGTTGAAATTGAAATCTAAACGTTTTGTTTGCTTTAGGACAATAATCGATTACCAGCTAAATTGAAAAACTTTCTATCAGGATACAGTTTTGTTTTCAATTTGTTAGGTTAATTGACTATGGATACCAACGGATGTTAATAGGTCCGATGTGAGCAGTTTCAGTATCGAACCTCAATTAAGTGAAAAACAGATCGACAAGGTCTATAACGCTAAAAGTGAAAAAGCACATAGCAAACTGAACTTTCTAAGAAACTGCAGTAAATATAGTAGCTATAGGTTGGTATATAATAATGATGACTAGTTAGCACTCGAGAATAAGAGAAAAAGAAAAAAATACAATTAATCCGAGAACGGAGAGGAAAAAGAGGAACACAAATGCAAAAAACAAATGCAAATTGTGCAAAAAATAGTAATGTTTGGATTTAAACTATATGCAAAATCGTTATAGTTTTTAAATGTATTGTAAAAAAAACTTCTACGGATTAAGACGACGCCGGAGGGGCAATGTTATTTCAAAAGTAAAGGGGATATATGAAATAGTGTAGTATAGTGTCCGCGCAAGAACAACTAGGTAATGAAAATAAAAAACAGACAACATTGGGTGGAAAGGAGACATCGCAAACGTGGAATTTTGTCGGCTTTGAGATTTATGTGCAATCACACTCATTAGTTTTTGCGTTGCTAGTATATTGAAATTTCAAACATTGTATCAATAAATATTGCGCAGATGTGTGAAACTGCCTAACAGACTGGTGCAAGGTGTCGATCGTGGCGTTTGTATTTTAAGAATATTGTAGTATTAATAATAGGAAAAAATAACACAAAAGTGAAAAAAAAATTATTAGTTTGACAGACTTGCCATGGAAATCGTCGGAACAATCCATACCATGCACGAAGTTCAAGCACAAAACAAGGCGTTTACACTAAATTGGGTCAAGCAAATATTATGGACTTAAAAAACAGTTCCATGTACACTGCCTCCCATTTTTGATGGTTTTACGACGTATCTCCCCTATTAACAGAGCAGCAATGTTGCGGCCTTTATGATTCAAGGCTACTTTTTCGCGAAAAGATGCTTCGACATTTTTCATTAAACCATCGCGAGCTGTCAGCTTTATTTTAAACTAAATGTAATATTTGTTTTGTAAAGCTTTTAAATTTAATTTGATTTTAGAAAGAATATTATGTGGAAGTAGTTGCACGATTCCAGGTCGCGAATTCGTCTTCATGCTTCATGTGTATTTTTATGTTTAAGATTTGTAACGAAAAATTATTCAAATAAATTGAATTCAACAAAACGTATTAATCCTACTTTTTCACATTTTACACGTTTTTGTTCTTACACTGTCTGTGTCTTTAAAACAACACTGCTAAAAAGAAACACGACAATTCGAACATTTAAAACTTCCGCGATAATCGAAGGCAACTCGACGTAAATATTTTGACTTCGCCTTTAGACTAAAACCACATAAATGCCAACGCAACGACTCGACGAACTGAAACCATTCATTCATTCATTGAATTTTAGTAAATCAAACGGAGCATAAGGAAATTTGTGCGTTTGGGAATGGTTAATTGAAGGACAGGACAGTATTTGATCAGATCGGTAAAATATTTACCTCTTATACACGATGAAATAATTAATAATTTTCAAACAAATCCCGATATTTTTCATTAATATTTTCATCATTTTATAATATTTTTTACAAAACTTACCGGTGACTAGATTTGAAACTTTTGGTTAATTGGTTTCTAAAAAATAGTTTTGTTCCTTTAACACCCTGTATCTCCATATAGGATACAAAAGCTTATGTATTAAGTTCGCATCACCTTGTATAGGGCAAAATAATACTTTTTGTAAGGGATAGAAATATATTTTTTGTACCATCGTTACTGTTATTTTCGTTCCAAATTTCGTATTCACCTTTTAAATGTAATAATTTTTTTCGAAATTATTTCATATTTTCGTGGTTACAAATAAAAAAACTCTTATGTAGTGAACATGATGGGAGAAGTTTATTTTCTCCAGGAATTATTTCGATAATCAGTCGCGATCACGGCACTAAAGTTATTTTTTTTTTAATTGTCCTATTGTTGCCACGTCGCTTTCACGTGTCATTCACTCGTTTCGTTATACTCTTTACGATAGGTTTCACGAAAAACATCTTACAGACTTTCACGATGAAAAAAACTTTAAGTACAACCCTCGACTGCCGAACCTACATCGAGCTTTAACACAAATTTAACTCCTTTTCAATCACCGGGCATCAAAAGATAGTGATTTATAGGCGTTTTATTGTCGGTTCAATGTACATTTTAATGTAGGTGAGTTGTTAATTCGACATAAAATTTTATCTGCATTTTGCCATAAGCGTAGGCGAATTAAATTTGGTTGCCGGAAACTAAAAATACTTACTAACTAATAATATTTATTTATTCGTTCGTCAAAGAAATAAGTTAATAATAATAAAAATTAAATAATTAATAATAAAAAGAATTACAGCTATTGGACGTAATATTGCAGTAATATATTATGCAAAAATTTAGTAAACGCTATTTAAGTCACGAGTTTGATATGGAAGTGGGGTTTTTCAGTCCATTTTTGTAAGTAGTTTAAACATAGGAATAATAGATAATACAAATCGTAGTCCTAAAGGGAACTGCAATTACTTTCCGCGTTCTCAAATTTAAGTAAGGGATATTTAACATAATTAAAACAAGAACCAAGAAATAATAATAAATTATTTTATACAAGGACATTACATCCTACAATTTTCTCCTGTCAGGGAGAAATGAACTAAGTTAAAAATATAGAACCATGCGATGGAAACAAATTAATCCAGATATCGAAAATTAATTTTCAATCAATTGTAATGTTAAGTTTATTTTTTTGCTAATTTTTTAATGTTTAAGGATTAATTTCATCACACAAGAGTTTCTTGGACCGTATTTTCTAGAACTTTAGATCATTTGTTGGTATCCTGTATATATTTTAAGATGAAAATAAACATATACTTGCGAACCAAAGTAAGAAAAAATCAGTACAGCACAGAGTTTTCTGCCAGCTGAATATTTGAGGTTATTAGGCCGTCTTCACTACTTATGGGGGTTCAAAGAACTTTTTTTTTACAAACTTTACAAATCGAATGGAGAATCTAAGCACCTAATTGCTTGCTAGAAATCAGATATAGTGCGTCAAAAAGTTC